TGTAATATATATAATAATAATATAATATATATGTAAATATTGTCAATAACATCCAGTGAAGTCTCAGAAAAAGAAAAAGAAAAAAACGTGAATTTACATGTTAATCTTTAAAAACAGTCCAGAAATGGGGAAAGAAAAATCTTTGTTAAATTAAAGATATTATCTAGTAAAATAGCACAGTAAATACTACTACGACTAACAACAACAACAACAACAACAACAACAACAATAATAATAATAATAATAATTTAAACTGATAATTTACATGTTAACCAAAAAAACAAAAAGGAAAAAATGGCCCAAACTGTAAATAATTTGTATTTTTTTCTTACATCATTTGGCTGTAAAATCAAATCTATAATATGTTTATTTTACACATATTTTCAGTTTTCTGGAAGAAGAAATATTGTTTATATATTTAAGATTGAAAAATGGTAAATAGTTTTTTTAATCTGTTATTTTACATATTTTGTGAAAATCACAGAGAAAAAATGCATTAATTCAGATTTTAAAGGCCAAAAATGAGCATTTATTTAAAAAAATAGAAATGTTCCTTTTTCCACTTTTGACAGAAAAATTAACAATAAAAAAAATCAGGTCAAGACGAGCTCAATATTAATCTGTAGTTTCATAAATATTTGTTGTTTTTTTTCTTTTTAGGTTTCAGACTTTACAATTCTACTGTTTTAACTGTATTAAAAAAACACATTATTTCCCGTCAGTGAAGTATTATTTTACAGATACTTGCAGTTATTTTAATAAAAATACGACTGAAATGTGTTAAATAATTTTTTAATTTGTTATTTCACAGATTTTCACTGTTTTGTTAGATTAAAAACTAAATATATTTTTAAATGACAGAAAAAAAACTATTAATTTGCACATTAACCAAAAAACTGTGAATGATGTTGAGATAAAAAATAGGATATTTTAATTAATTATTTTTTCTTTTTACATAATTTGACCAAAAACATTCACAAATGTGTTATTTGAAAGAAAAAATGATTTATGTTACGGATTTTAAAACGTTATTTTGGGTTTTATTAAACAATAATCTGTACCTGTACTTTTGCTGTATTTAAATCAGCTAAAAAATATAAATTTGCAGAAATTTGATGTTATTTTCACTTTTTTTTTTTAACGTTACAGAATTATGTTGTTTTTAACGAACTTTTTCTGGCGCCCCCTGCTGCCAGATTTCTGGTTAAGTTACGAATGTGGAACTTCCTCAAAACTTCGCCGTAAGCACCTGGTCAGTGGTTCGGAGGTATCGACCTTTTCTAAATTTCTGTTTCATTAACTCCTGATGCAACAAAACAACAAATCGCGATAACTGGACGTAACTCCAGCTCCATGAGCAACACAACGCTCGTCATGTCAGCGCAACGAAACCGGCATGTGGAGAGTTTAACGTCAGAAGTATCCACGCTGGACGAGGTTCTTTTCCTCCCTGAGCCTTAACAACGGTTCTACGGGGCAGTTGTTGTGCTCAGAGGTCCAGTCCGCCCTAAAATGGCCCACAGCGGCTTGTTGTGGACAACCTGCCGGGACCGGTCGCAGCGTTTTTCAGGTCTCCAACAGGACAACGTGGCTTTGTGTGGTTGTTGGTTCTTGACAGCGACAAAAGAGGAAAAAGCCCATTTTAAAACCAGCTAAGGTGTACGTACAAGACAAAATAAAAGCTATCAGGAAACAGGCTCGTCCGACGCCAACGTCTTCCTGTTCGGGGGCAGGATTTGGCTAAAGAACGACTCTGAACTGGACGAAATCCCCTTTACCGGGTTCTCAACAGCAACCTCGGGGGTGACTTCAGATACGTAGCCTGGAAGCTCGACATGATTAGCCTGATCCGATGCTACCTCAGCTTCTTGGTTATCGGTTAGCTTGTGGTTTGGAAGCTTTGGTTGAAGACTGAATTTATAATGAGTCTTGGTCCTGAAACATTTGAGCTCTTACAGCTTCTCAAGTGAAAACAACCTTTTCATCCAATCACACTAACATCCTGAGCCACCACCCGTCTGCTCTCTATGATGCTGATTCCTTTTCATCCATCTTTGACTCCAGTTTGAACAGAAACGATCAGTAACTGCTTACTTTTCTATATTTATCCTGATTAGCCATCTGGACGAAGTTGTAAAACGCCAGGATGGAAACTCGTCTAGAACTTCACCCCGAAAGCCGCTGCTGTGTTTTGTACCATTTTTCAGAGTTTTGTCCATAAACATTCGGGTGACGTGTTTAGCATATTAGCAGACAAACCACAGACCTCTTGTCCTGAGTTGTATCTATGGTTCTGATCTTCACTGTTTGACCACACTGACGACAGTTTCTTGCTTTGTCTCGTGTCCTCTCTTACAGACTGAGGAGGCCCAAGTCGGACCAAGTTGCCTTAACCGACCCTCGACTTTTCTCAGACAAACGACCAGAACGACGGGACGCATCAAAGCCTCCAGCTCCGACCGGCTTCGTCATGACGAGGCGGCGATTCGAAGACGATAAACGCTGAAGAGCCATGAGAGGGCAGCTGGACGGAGGGAGACTTTGGACGAGAAGGATGTGAATCTGACATTTACAGAACTGTCTGTTCACCTGCTTGTGTGTCGTTTTTTTTTCAATTAAGGAATCAGAAAAGTGAATCAAACCCACCGATGATCTTTTTTCTAATGACTGAGATTGTAGCTCTCTGAAACATTTCAACCCAGCATCAGCTTTTCTGTCTCCAGCCTCAACTAGAAAGCAGCGACTTCCAGCGTCCTGGGAGGTGACGATGTAGACGAGGACGGTTCTTAAGGTGCAGCAGATTGTACAACAAGACGAATACGATTGTCTTCTACTGACAGGAAGTCTTTCAAAAGGGATCAAACGTTTCTCGCTTTTGTTTTCTGACAGCGAATACGATTGTGTTACAGGATTAAAAAGGCAAAAACTACCGAGCCGCAAAAGACTGAACACCGACAAACATCACAAAAACTGGACGTTGTTCTTGGACTTCAAGGTCCAGAAGTTGGAATTAAACAGGTGCTCGGACACTTCGTCAAAAGCTGGATTCAGGGGAACCGCAGGTGGACTCATTCTGGACTTTAGGAGCCGAACCAGAGCGAGATTCCACCATGACTCACCTTCACGCCGGCTTGAGCTCCGAGACGACGGAAAAGGCTCGACTAGAGCTGAACGAGAACCCGGACACGCTGCATCAGGACATCCAGCAGGTGAGCACACCTGTCCCACAGCTCAGACATGCCTACTGTCCAGCTAATGCCATTAGTTCATGTTCTAAACCCAAAGTGTTGGATGTACGTCACTGAAAAACAGCCCCGGCGTACAAATCCCCACAAATACACCAACGACACAAAGGAGACGCAACCAGCACAGAAAGTCTGCTGGGTTTCCATCGACCTCTTAGGGTGCTGTCTCCACATCCGGAGCTTTTTCCAAAGTAATTCTGGAAGCTGCGTTTTTACAGTTTTTATCAAACTGCGTCGACAATCTGCCGAAGCGGGTCTGGCATTGGTTCTGATTGTTAGTAGCTGTAGTGGCGCTAAAACAAATGCTTTCTGATGTTTTGTTAAATATGATTAAATAGCAGATAATAAAATAATACACATATAAAATCAAGCTACAAACCAAACAAATACCAGAAGGACATCTGGGGAGCCAACAATCGGTAATGAGACGGTGGTTGAATTATGCAGTTTTTTTGTGCTTCCTCAAAATGGCTTCCCGAGTTCTTTCACCAACTTTGGTTCTGATATATCGAAGTTCTGCTCAGATAAACTTCCAAATATCAAAAATCTGAACGACAGCGTTTGAGAGGTTTTCTAAAACAAGATTGGGGAAAAAAAACGTTGGACGTTTTTCACAAAAACAATAATGTTGGTAAATCTAAAGTGGCAGAACTTAGCTTGAAAATCTGTAAAATGGTTCAAAAGTTAGATGCATAAACACCTCCGACTTTGACCCATTGGTGGCGCCACAGTTCTCGACACCAAAACTCACCAGTTCTTTGTTCACCTGCGTTCCACCTGCCCATTAAGTTTCTCAAAAATAGACTCTAGAAGACCAAGAAGACCGGAAAAAATCCCCCATACTGTATTTTTGTTAAAAAAATACAACCTTCTTGGCGGAAGTTGTACCTTCTTCAACAGTAGTTTAATGGCACAGACTGTGGATTTAGCGCCACCTGCTGTTTACCTCCACTAACCAGATCCTGACATTCACACGGAGGACAGAAACATTTAGCTGTTGCAGATTTTCTTTAAAATTGTGGGCAAAATTTGTGGCATATTAGGATGAAAACCCCAAACAGACGGTGTTTCCTAAACACGAGCAGCTGCAGGAGAATCTACGAGTTACAGCATCAGTGAAAATACTCATCATGTGTCACAAATTTAACATAAAACGTGACAAGTAATCTTTTACGAGCCTTCCAAGTCCTGTTTTGGTTCCGTTTTCATATCCTGCAGTGGAGTTTTCTTCAGGTTGTTTCCGTCTGTGTTGACTGAAGGTACGGGACATGATTGTGACGCGACCGGACATCGGCTTCCTGCGAACAGACGACGACTTCATCCTTCGCTTCCTAAGAGCCAGAAAGTTCGACCAGGTGGAGACCTTCAGACTGCTGGCCCAGTACTTCCAGTTCAGACAGCAGAACCTCGACATGTTCCAGAGCTTCAAGGTCTGTTGCTGCCGTCACTCTTCAAACAGACAGTTTAAGAACGAACCGTAGAGGCGATTGTCCTGATCCCTGCCATGATCTTAGTGTGATGCACGTTAAAGGAAGATAGCAAGTAAGTCGAGGGTGTTTTCAGATCATGAAGCTGGTTCCTGCCTCCACCAGGGGGCGACGGACTAGCGCACCTCAGGAGACCTGCAGGGAAACATGGAGTTTGTTACGTAACTGAACTTTTTGGTTCGAAGAATTATCGAAATATCGGCCAGATCCAGTCTTGGCTCCTCGCCCTGAACAGGGGAACCGTTTGAGGACAGTGGTTAAGCATCATTAGATGAGCTGCTGTTTAATTGCTAGTTGTTCCAGCAGATGGAGCCTCTTGCGTTTATTGAGATGAAAGACTCGGGCTACAGGCAGTTCATGCTGGCAGACAGAGTTTGGGCCACCGTGACAAGGACTTTCAGCAAGAGCTGACATATTAAAGACGAGCCATAGTTGACTAGAACGGAGCTCTGTAGTTAAAATGACTGTTGGTTACGACCTACGTGTAGTTTTAACGTCTTGTCACCTGGTTTCGTCTCCAGGTGGACGACCCCGGCATTAAGCGAGCGTTGATGGATGGTTTTCCTGGCGTTCTGGAGACTCCAGACCAACATGGCCGAAAAATCCTCATCCTGTTCGCTTCCAACTGGGACCAGAACAGGTGAAACACACACCTTTACACCTCTGTACTGATTAATCAGCACAACACCGGCCTTCACCGATCAGTTGACTCAGTTTGTGAGACGAGCTACGATATTTAAAGCTGACTCTAAATATCAAGTCCACAAGCTGAGTTTACAGCGTTTTACAGTTTACTGCACACACGGCCAGATGTGTGGTATTGATCGGAAACACAAAGAGTCTAATGAGTCACTTGTGTTCTGGAATAGACAGAACAACAGAGCTGTAGTTAAAGACCGTCACGCTCTCGGTAGCTATCGATTAGCGGCTGATTAATGCCTCCCCCGTCCTCCCCCCCTGCAGGAACTCCTTCACCGACATCCTGAGAGCCATCCTGCTCTCTCTGGAGGTTCTCATCGAGAACCCGGAGCTGCAGATCAACGGCTTCATCCTCATCATCGACTGGAGCAACTTCTCCTTCAAACAGGCCTCCAAGCTCACGCCCAACATCCTCAAGCTGGCGATAGAAGGCCTGCAGGTGGGACGTCTAATACTGTCCTCGTCTCCTCTCCTTGTCTCCTCTCCTACTTCCCTTGTCTTCTCTCCTACACAGCATCAGTTTCAGACATACGTTTTGTTGCAGGAATCAGTGCTTATGATTGTATTAATAATCAAAGTGTGGATGTGACTCTACTCCTGTCCTTGTCTCCTCTCCTTGTCTCCTCGTCTCGTCTCCTCAGGACAGTTTCCCGGCTCGGTTTGGAGGAATCCATTTTGTGAATCAGCCGTGGTACATTCACGCCATGTACACCATCATCAAACCGTTCCTCAAAGACAAGACCAGGAAAAGGGTGAACGCTTGATTCCTCAATCCCCTTGACTCCTCACCCCTCCTTTAGTCTCTCGTCTCTTTCTCACTTTGTCTTTCCTCCTCCTCCCTCCTGGTCCTCCTCAGATCTTCCTCCACGGAAACAACCTGAACTCGCTCCACCAGCTCATTCAGCCTGAGTGTTTGCCGTCGGAGTTCGGCGGGACGCTGCCGCCGTACGATATGGGAATCTGGGCGCGAACGCTGCTGGGACCCGACTACAACGACGAGACCGAGTACACGTTAACGTACGACGCCCTGCATGTCCGGGAGAACTGTGGAGGAGGAGACAAGGACATGATGAAGAGGTGAGCATGAGGACAGTATAGCATCATCCTGCTGTAGGTCAGCCTCCCTCACCACTGTACAGACTGCATCAGGTTTCACGTCATGATGCTGCCACCACCGTGCTTCATCATGACGCTGCCACCACCGTGCTTCATCATGACGCTGCCACCACCGTGCTTCATCATGACG